GTGTAGAGCTTCTAGGAACCTCCCTAGGAAGTAAGGACCGTTATGGCTTGCTTCTTGTTCCACTAGGGTTACGATGTTCGGAGCCTGATCCCGGATCATAGCAAGTAAGTTCCCGAGGCTCTTCCCTGGGACACGGTGGAGACGGTTCACGACGTTGACCGCTAAAGCCTCTCCGACACGACGGTTGAACATATTCGGCTTTAGGGCTTCAAGTTGCTCTCCAATTGCATGGAATTCGAAAGGGACGTTTAGAGAATGAGCGAGCTCGGTTAAGCAGCGGCCGGTTTCTTGCACGGCGTCTATGACCGGGCCAACTCCGGTGATGCGGAGGAACGGGGAGCCACCGGGGCGAGCTGCTAGGGCTTGCATGAAAGCTGGCCATTGATAACCTTGGAGAATATCAAGGTCTATAACATGGACGCGCTCTTCAGCTTCAAAGGCTTCAAAAATGGCTTGATTGGCGGTGAAATGAGCGAACTTTACATAAGGGCAAGCTTGGTAAACGATTTGGTAAATCTTGAGGATTTCGAGGGAGTTTTTGGGAAATGGAGGGATTGGAGAAATGGGCTTTGCGGTGGTGAAAGTTGCAGCAAGACGTGCACTTAGGGCTTCGGTGAAACAAGAAGCAACTCTTTGCATGGAATCGCCAATTGGTGTGACAACTCTGTTGAGATGATGAAGGTATCTTCTTGCTAACATGTAATCCTCTTTGGCTACTGCTTCTGCACATGCAAGAAGGAGGTGCACCAGTTGAAGTCCACTATCTTGTTCCTACGTTTTTCAATGCCAAAACACATAATAATTACTTCCATCAACTTTTACTAATTTGAAAGCAAAGTAATTGGGTTGTTTTAGAAAACAAAAAAAACTAAAAGTGGACGTGTTTTAAAATCTTGAAGAGAAATTCGGAGGGGCAATCCAAAGAGGGCAATATCTTTTAGCGATGGGTTTGGGCGGTTACAAATAGTATCAGAGTTGGCATTGAACTGTGTGTCAACGAGGATGCTGACCCTAAGGGGGTGGATTATGGAATCGTATATCAGTTGAAGAGGAGAACGAAACATTCTTTATAAGCGTGTGGAAACTTCTTCTTAGCCTACGAGTCTTAAAACCTTGAGGGGAAACTCAAAAGAAAAAACTCAAAAAATGACAATATCTACTAATAGTGGGCTTGGACGGTTACAAATGGTATCAGGGCTAGACACTGGGTGATGTGCCATCGAGGATGCTGGGATCCCGAGAGGAATGGATTGTGAAATCCCACATTGTTTGAAGAGGAGAAAGAAACATTCGTTATAAGGGTGTGAAAGCCTTTACTTAACAGACTCGTTTTGAAATCTTGAGAGAAAGCCATAAGGAAAAACACAAAGAGAACAATATTGGTTAACAGTAGATTTGGACTGTTACAAAGGGTTTATCTGTTAACAGTAGGTTTGGACTAGATTGTGAAATCACACCTCGGTTGAAGAGGAGAATGAAACATTCCTTATAACGGTGTGAAAACCCCTACCAAACAGATATGTTTTAAAACTTTAAGGGAAAGTTCTAAAAAGAACTATATCTACGGGCGGTGGTGGACTTGCACTTAGTAATGGTTTACCTGCTCAGACCCTACAGGAAGAGGCACCATCAAGCTATGGTTGAGCTGATTTTGTGGCTGCTTTGGAGGTGGCAACGGCAAAGGCGATAACGCCGGTGGTGGTGGCAGCGGTGGCTGCTGCTGTTGTTGATCTTGTTGTGGCAAAGGGGCAGTTGTGATCGACCCCATTTGAGTATAGAATTCCCTGTCCATAGTTGATGATTGGTTTGGCACAGCCAAGTCCTCAAAAACTGGCGGAAGAGAAGAAGTTGATATGTCATAGAATTGCAATGATTCTCCAATACCTGAAATCTTAGACAAGTTTTGAAACGCTTCAAACCCCTCAGGCTCTTCATAATCATCCAACAATTCACCAATAGTAGGAAGCGAAGAAGTGCCCTCAATTGCTTGCATATATTGATTGCTTGGCGAGCTAAACACCTTATGAAGTGGGCTAAGCCCCTTCCCTTTATGAACACTGCTGGAAGCCCCAACTTGGGAGCAGCTCCTAGGCGGCGAACATTGCATTGCTTGCCCAAAGTTATAGTTAGAGTAATTGAAACCCAAGTTGTGGGGCGACGGCAAGCTCCGCACAGGCGATGAGATCATGAAGTCGCAGTCCAGTTGGTCCGCAAACAAGGAATCCCATACGGAGTTGTCCGGCGATTGAATCTCGATGTCGCCGTCGATCTCGAACTTGGGAGCGGGGAAGCTGAGGCTGGTTGGCTCCAAATCGGAGGAGGAGACGGCGGCGGTCTTGGCGGAGACGGCTTCATTTGGGGAGGTGGGGGGCGGAGGCTTGGAGGAAGAGGAGGTTTCGGTGCTGTTGCTTGGGGCGATGCTTCCGCAGAGAGAATTGATCATTGTCGTGTTTTTTGTTGTGCGGAAATTGCGGAAACACCCAGAAGATAAAAAAACAGAAACTTTATGAGAATCAAACAAGTTTTTTTTAAGGAAATTTGGTATAAAAGAAGGAACTTGGAAAGAGATGAGTTTGATTGTTGTTATTGGGGTTACAAATTTGTCGGTTAGCAGAGGAAGGTGTTTGAATGTCCAGTGATGACATCGTTGGCAAGCCTGTGTGTAGCAGCGGGAGACCCAATTCTATTACCCCTCCCTCGCACGTGGGGCCGGCTGATGACATAACACGCCACTTTTTTCTTTTTTCTTTTTTCTTTAAATTATTATTATCAATATCAATACTAAGCAAAATAATAATTAACTTGATTTTAAGAATTTGTGTTATACTAATTTATGTATTAGGACCACAATTAATTAAGAATTATTATTTCTTTTCACTTATGTCACAGATATTTAATGCTTGAAAAAAATCAATTCCGATCATATTATTTGTGTTAATTTAATAACAGCTTGATTAGTTTTGGATATAAAATCAAATTTCTAAAGACTCGTATTTTAGAATTTTATTCGCGTTAGATTTTTTTTTTTTTTTT